ATAAATGAAATGAAATTGAATCTGCAGAATACTCACTACTCATCAGCAGTCTCTGTAATATCTTAAGCTTTAATCAGCTTGTGATAAAGAATTTAACTTTGAACTTCTTTGAGATAAGAACAGTTACATTATTGATTTTAAGATAATCAATGAACATAATTAACACTTCAATATAGTGAAAATAAATCATTACATCTATTCTATTCACAGTATCTGTTAAGCTGCTCTAGCCGCAGTTGCGCAGAGATCTCTGAATTACAATAATACACTCTATGTAATATCAAATATCATCAGGTCTGTGATACTATCACTACAGACGTTGTCAAAATCATACAGATAGACATCACTGACATGACTGCAGACACTCTAATGAAAGCTCTGAAGGCATCTTGATAGATACAGAGTCTTAGCAGCTCACTATCTCTATGATAGTTCATTTATTCATTTTACTATTTCTTTATTTTCTTATTCTTCAAATTCTTGTTAGTCCTCCGCGAAATCTTTGACAGAAGACACTACTATTTTTTTTATATGTAATATTTGTTCTCTAGTTATAGAACTGCTCTGCTGAGTTGCAAATATTTACTCAGCAGAGCGGTGATTAAGAGAGGTGTCAGATTTCCTGTCTACAGACTGATTACTTCTGTCTAAGTGAGATGTTCATCAATCACTTAATAAACATCTATTACATATAAAAGGCCGCATAATAGATAGATCTTAATTACTAATCAACTACTACATTATATCACCTTCATTAAATTATAAAATACATTAAAATAAAATATATAATATTTTATTATAAATTAAGAAATATGTATTATATATTATTGAAAATAATAATTCTTGTATAAATATATTATAATTTAATAAATATTAAATTATTTTACATAAGAATTCTATATTTTAATTTTTAAGAATTTTTAAGAATTTTTTATTATAATTCTTTTTATAAATTACAAATAAAATATTGAGAATTCTTGAAATTTTCAATTTTAAAAAATAATTTATTAAATATAAATATATTTAAATGATTTGATATAATAATTTATTTAAATTACAATTTTAAAGTATAAATAATACACAGTTATTACAAAAATAATATTTTAAAATATAAAATTTTATTTTAAAATTCTATTTATATTTATTTATTTAAATTTTATATAAAATTTTATATTTT